GAAGTTAAACAGAAATGGGGAAAGTGGACATCCCTGTCGGACACCACTGGTTGTTACCAATTCAGATGACAATTCCCCATAAGCCCTTACACGACTACGTGAGTTTGAATAGAGTGCGTTGATTAGTGCAATGTACTTTCTTGGCACTCCCTTCACAGTCAGACATTGCCATAGTGTAACAACAGAAGACAAGGGCCAGGCAACAGATCGTTTTATTATGAAAATCAACACGTATTTATACATATTTCAGACAACATTATTATAGACAAGCGCAGTCATCTGATTGGTTGTTTAGGTAGACAAACGCAGGCTTCTGATTGGTTGTTTCGGGATTCCTTGACAAACAGAGTTCTCTATCTGCGAATCATATTTTGCCACGTTAACTTCGCTGTGATTGGTTGTTGACTCAGCCTTGTTCACGGCCCATATTAGTGACCTAGACCTTAACGTAGATTAGTGCCAACCAATCGGCTAGCAGCCTGCTCTCACCACACTCGTCCCCCCGTCAAATACGTGCGACTGAAGTCGGCTTGATCTACTTGGTGCAGGCGTCATCGTTGGCTTGTCTCGCTGTATCCATTTCTGGAGCTCGCTGACGTTCACGCGCCTCTCATTGTTCGCCATTGCGACTGTGTCTGCGTAACCCCATCTCGAAGTGACCATATATGGTCCTTCCCACTTTGGAAACTGTTTGCCTGACCCTGTCGAACATTCGTCCATACTTCGGCCCACACCTTCATATGCTGCTTTCGCCCGACCTCCCAGCAGCGTCTCAAGTAGCAGCTCCATCGCTGACAGATCTTGAACGCCACTCAACTGCGCAGAAGCCTTGAAGTCCTGCCCGAAGATCCATATGTCTCCATCAAAAACTGCAGGGTATAGGCTTTTCATTTGTCGGTAGGCAGCGACACCAAATGTAACAACAGAAGACAAGGGCCAGGCAACAGATCGTTTTATTATGAAAATCAACACGTATTTATACATCTTTCATACTACATTATTATAGACAAGCGCAGTCATCTGATTGGTTGTTTAGGTAGACAAACGCAGGCTTCTGATTGGTTGTTTCGGGATTCCTTGACAAACAGAGTTCTCTATCTGCGAATCATATTTTGCCACGTTAACTTCGCTGTGATTGGTTGTTGACTCAGCCTTGTTCACGGCCCATATTAGTGACCTAGACCTTAACGTAGATTAGTGCCAACCAATCGGCTAGCAGCCTGCTCTCACCACAATAGTACCTTTCGATCCACGGAGTCGAAGGCCGCCTTCAAGTAGAGTTCAAATGTAGAGTTAGTGAGTTATCTGTTCTATACAGTTCAGAAACATAGTCAGAGTGTCACGAAAAGGATTTCTAACAGCCTGTTGCAGACTTCCATAAACAGCTGCCTTCTACGACTCCATACTGAAGACCAGATGATCAGCCAGCCAGAAAGAATTCGTAACAAGACCCCCTGCGAACAAACCAACTATGAAAAGATCACTCAACAAGTATGTAGAAGGATATGAAGATGGATCGATCCGGGGTAAGTTGAGGAAGCCATCGAATGACATCGTGCTCACTGCAGTTAATAACTCGAGTGGAGTCCGAATGGGAAGCAACAAGTGGATGATAGGTACGAGAGTAACATGGAGGAGATCTTGGGGAGGAAGAGGAGGTGAGTGATTATTGGCAGTCATGAATCCAGCTGAAGAGAACAGAATGAAATGGAACAGAGCGGAGATGTCTTTTTGAAGCCCACTTGTGACTCAAAGTAATAATAATTATGCTGATCCCATCAATTCTATTAATTTTTCACTCCTTTACAAGATATATATTCATCTTATGAATTATAAGCTATATATGCAATTTTTTTTAACTTTTTCACTTGATATTTAACGATGGTAGGTAGTTATTTACCTGGGGTTCTAGTGAGATGTCATGACCATAGTAAGGTATATTAGGGCGAATGTGAGCACAAATACTCTCGAGAGATGACATTAGGTAGTAGTCGCGTTATTTCGCGAATTGGCTGAAGTTGGAATTCATGAGCTGGTCACTGGATTGCGTCTCAGTCGCTTAATGGTCTAGGAGCTAGCTTGACTTGTGGCTAGAAGGTTCTGTGTTTGAACTTCCCTTGGCGCTTGCTTCTGAAGGGTCCAAAACTAAGACGGAACAGCTGGAAGTCCAATTATTTCAGGTTTTCCAAGGGTTCTCCAATTGACCTCAGTTCACGATGAAAGCCTGTAACAAATCAGCCAGATCCCTAGAAACATATACACGGTCGTGATCATGAGCATTTCAATCATATTATTAGTTTTAAGTTTTCACACTTTTGTTTAAATTTCCTCACAGGATTTAATTTAAAAACAAAACATGAATAAACCATAGTACAGTTTGACAATAAATTCAACGCAAAAAGGCTCTTCACTGAAGATTATGTTCTTGATATATATATATATATATATATATATATATATATATGTATATGTACATAGGCATGATAAGTGGTCAACATTGACACTAAATAAAGGATGACACAGTCGACTAAGAGTGGAGAGAGAGAGAGAAACTTACCACAGCTTCTGATGGTGATAAGCTATTTTAATTTCTTGGGGTTTCAGATCAATATAAGAGAATTCAAAATGTCTGCCTGATATCCCTTGTCAATCGGACACCGTATGACTGCATTGTTCTTAATCGTAGACTACTTACAAAGAGGTTAGTCCTTAAGACATCGTCTAGAAGGACACTGAAAGCTCGAAAATTGAATCCCCACTCAGCTCAGAGAATATAACAACAGTACAAATATCTACCCGAGGTATAAATCTTCCCTATTATTTCAATATCAGGCATCCTTTGACCCTGACCAGATGCTCTATACCTCTCTATGCGTCCCAGACTAACAAGCGATTACTTACCAAATTAGTGCTGTGTTTCAGAATGACCATCTATGAGGTTTTCTATGACTCAGTTAGGTATTAGCGAACGCTGCTCACAGAAGAAAGCAGTAACTCTGAATGTGTAACAGTCAACTAGTATTAATTCGTCTATTTAACACTGACACCGTGACACATGGTGTTCTCCGGTTATAGCCATTTCATCTTTCAAGTAATTAATTAAAGCAGGATGGTATTTTGTGCATCAATGTTTCAATGTCAAATTCCTTGTCAGTCAAATAAGATTGCCAATTTTGATTAACAGTCAACGCACTCATAAGTCACACTTAATTTACAAAGCGGGAGTAATCTGAGAGAGGAAGGAAGGTTAACAACACCACCGCTCTGCTGAAATTTTAAATCTGGAGGCCAGAACTCAAAGAATGACAAAAAAAATGTGAACAGTTTGTACAGTCGACAAATGTATCAACGAAATCAAGCAATGATATCAGTGAATAAGGACAGATACGTCATAAACTGTTATTAGTTAATCCTTATAGAGGGGATTTAACTGGTAGATAGTGACTAGCAGTGGAATCCAGAATAACGTGTGTTTCGTCCTATTTGGGACTCGTCAGCTAGTGGATGTACCTGCATTCCGGATTGAGTGATTATGTTCCCACCGAGGCCCCGAACACAATGCATATAATTTCAGATGCCAAAGCGTTATCCACTAGACCGATAGGGCCACGAGAGCCACTTCTTGTCCATCGGGTCATATTAATAATTAATCGATGGGAAAATCATCACTCACTGGAGAATGCAGGTACATCCAGATGACGAGTCCCAGACAGGACGAAATGCGCGTACTGACTGGATTCCACTGCTAGTCACCATCCACCAGTGAAATTCTAACTACATGTCCAGACATTGTCGAAGCATCTGCACAAGAAGCCGACAGACATGTCAACCTGAGACCGAGCACTTCGGTCCAATCAATCGACGGGAAAATCTAAAATTCACTCATAGAGGATTATTTTAAAAAAATCTTTTTTTGTTGTTTGTGAAAGCGAAGGCATAATGGTATACATCCAACTAATACTAACTAGACTGTATTATAATATCAAGCTTTTTTATTATAAAACTGATGGAAAAAACAAATAACAATAGTCGAATTCAAGTTAGTTAGTCAGTTAGTTACGGACAGACTCGATTAGTTTTATGCTTCGGACAAATAGAGTAGAATAGAGACATAGACATATGAACGCGTGTATAAGGGAATGTATACGTGTATGTAGCGATAATGACATAACACGATATGGTTTTACACAATCCATTCTGTCTCTCTGTAGAGCTAGCTTGAACATTAAAACAACATACACACATACGCACACACACACTCACACAGAAGAATAGACAAACAAACCTACAGGGTATCTATAAATACACATGTACTAACTTGGATTGAAAAGTGGAGGCAGTTAAGCCACCTCATCACCACCGTCATCATCATCATCACGGACATCATCAACACAGTGTAATAATCAGCGTGCGTCTTATGCAATAAATGTTATTACATCATCATCACCAGCAACAACAACAACAACAACACATATGCATAATATATATATCTGGAAAATAATTAGTACAATTTTTAAAAGTTAAAATACAGTAGTTATATTTGCAAAGGATTTTTAGTTAATTTTACCTGCAAGGCTAATTTCTAAAGCATAATTAGATAATAATTCAATCAAAATCTACTGACATCACACTTCCAGTTTATATTATAATTACTGCCATTTTTTCTCTTTGCATTTTGAATGTTTTGTTTTAATCGACACATTGAATATATTGGACATTGAACATATTTGGGTTTAATTCGCACAAAATAGCGCTTTCATAAAAGAAAAATAAATTAAAAAAAGAAAAAGTAGCCTGTGAAATAAAATTCTAAAAATGTTTAACAAATTCATGAAAATATTCTATGAAATTTACAGATATCTTCATTTTATGATTATCTTATACATGTTTAATGCTACTTATATGAAGAAACAGTATTGTTATGCATTGGTGATGCGAAAATTAATGAACTCACTTATTGAGGAGGAATATTTCATGAAACAGCAGATATTATGTAACACATGTGCCAGAAGTATTCAATTATCAAGTTGAACTGTTTAAATTGGATACAATTGAAGAGAATTCAATACTTTAAAAATAATAGTTTTAACAGTAGCAATAATTATAATTATCAGACCTCTGCATCAAAGCATAAACAGTCAGCTATTGAAACCAGAAGAATATCATCAACGCTAACATCATATGAAAATACAGGCAATCGCGTAACATGTTATACAACAAATGCCAAATTTATGTATCAGCAATATTATTACTTCTACAAAACCAGTTTTGTCATTAAGTTCTTTTCTAGCTTATTTATAATGATGATATTTTGTACAGTAAATTCATCCTCATCGGCATCAGCGTCCGCATCCGCGTCCTCCTCCTTCTCTTCCTCACTATCATCACCACTATCATCTAACTCCTCATCATCAGCTTTATCACCTAAACGAGTGGTTCGCGCGCCTATCACTAGTAGACATCAGTCAATAAATCCAAGATTGTTACGTGAAATTGGTGAAGGGACATTACGTATCGGTGGTGTTTTAACCCAGTTACTCGATGCTATTGAATTCTCAGTTGTACATGAAAGAACAGATCCTTATTTAAAGTGAGTGATTGTAGTAATTTACACTAAACGTTGACTTGTTTTCCGTTTCACTCAGTAATAATAATTTCAAATGTTGGATTTGTTAAGGGAATTGATAGAGTGTGTGTGTTACGGAATTCTTAAAACTTAGAGAGTATAGATCGATTCCTAGGCTGTAAAGAAACCCATAGGTTTTCTAGAGGTCGAACAAATGACATTTGTATGAATTGGTGAGTATTTTACCACTCAGCCTGGCAGAAATTCCTAATCGTAACTATTTTCATAACGAGTTTCTAGTTCTACCTACAAATCGTAATTGACGAAGTCCAAGAAATCATTTATCCAAACGTTTGCTCGCCAGTAATATTTAGATTATGATAGATCATATTCCGAAATGATAGAAGTGCGAAATTCACTCGACTGTAACACGTTGTCCGTGTAACTTGACGTTTCCTGTTTAAATTATCGACAATGTTATGCTGGTACAGAGTAGTAGAGCTTGATTCAGTATATTGATTTTGTTTAGCTACTTGAGCTGGCTTTATTTTGTGATACTGGGTTAAACTGAAGTAATAACTTCTCGGTGCATCGGTGGCACAGAGGTAGAATACTCGCCAACAACGCATCATGTGGTTCGGGGTTCGATCCTCTACAACAGGCGAACTCTTTTACCTTACTAAGCCAGTAATTAGACTGGTAAAGAGGGATGATGGGGCATGAGGCGGCTAGCAACCCTATCCCATAAAAATTAACTCCACTGTTTCTGAAACTTCAAAGCTCCAGCTTGAAGCGAAATGTTTCTCTGGGAACGTTAAGCAATAAAAATTTTTTTACAAAATAACTTCTCGAAATGACGGAGTTGTTCTCTGAAGAACTGCGAAATGTGAAGTACCACAAACGGACTATAGGATGGTGTAACATATAAGAGGGGAAGAGGCTGACAGACAAATACAATTCGTTAATTTTAGCATACAATGGTCAGCAAAGGTAAATTAAAATTATATCGAAACTTTTTTTGTGTGGTACAAGATAGAATAATAACAATAATAATCGTCAGTGAGTTCTGACTGTCATTCAATCGCATAAAAAATGTATATTCAATAAAAACATGAGATAAAGTGGGATCCTTTCGTCTTCATCCATTGCATTCTTAGTGGAATATAGGGCTTCAAGCATTGAAGGACCAGCGTCTGTGGTATTTCCTTTACAAGATGGAATTGTCAGACATCGAGTCCAGCATCTCTTCCTTCCTTCCTCTTCCGGTTTACTACCACCCAGTATACTTTGGCGAGGATTAAGAGTGCATCAGCTGGGGGTCGAACCCAGAAAAGTGTTTAAAACTGTAGAGCTTGAAGATAAAAGTACTAGAAATAACTGTTCCCTCTAACTTTTCTTGCTGTGAATATATTCATCACATTATATCAACAAATATGCAGCTGCTTTCAATAACTTATCTTCATTGCACGTTTACTGTAATTTCAAAATATTAGCAATTTACAGTTTAGTGTTAGGCGTTAGATATCATTCACAATATGGTTCTGCCTCTCTGAAACATCCCATGTGTTTGAACCTACACCATTAAGTGTGAATTACCATGAGGAGTTTTGGGGTAACGACTTTGAGTTAACTTATACGAGGCTATATGTTAACCATTCTCACTGTTTATGTTCTTGAGTGTGGTGACAAATATCTCTCGATGGATTACGTAACCTAATTATTAGATGAATTGACTGAAAACTTCTGTCACAGTTTTATGTACAACAAGTTTCAGACCTAAGCCACTGTATGATTCTGACATCTCTTAACTATAAAGTTTAGATGTTGACTGTTTCTTCATGGAAAGCCCTAAACCTACCAACTGCCAAAATGTATACCAGCAAATTTGATTGCCTCAGGAGTTGAGGCTCAGTTTAAACGTATTGGTTAATATATGATCAGAAAATAGGTTTTATTCAGTTGGTGTCATTTACCAGTTAAATCCAAGACACATGTTCCATACCATTTGCCCTTTGTCATTGGCATAAGTCTCCCAGCCCAGTGAGTAATGGTATTCTCATGGAAATTTGAACCCTAAATACCCATCGTCTTGAACGCCATAGATTTATCTAATAAACTATTGGGCTGCGATAGAGGCTTTTTGTGTAAAAGGGAAAATTCGAAATTATTTCTTCGCAAGTAATATTATTACTTAATGAGATATCTGGACCGGGATGATTTGCATCATCTCAGATTATGGTCTGCTTGAAGAAACGATAAATTGTTACTGTCAGCATTAACATTTTTATCAGTATGACCACGGATTGGTTAAACCAACTATCGAAAATTAATCTGATGTTCGCCATTGAGTGACTTGCTACAGGACGGAGTTTCCTGGGGTCAGTTCTAGTGAGAAGTCGTGACCAGTGAGGTCCATTCAGTTAAGAAGTGTGAGGACGGATGTATCGCCGATGACATTGGTTGGTCACCAGTCACGCTAAATGCATCACAAATTAGTAGAAGTTAAAATTCATGGGCTGGTCATTGAATCGGGTTCCAGTGGTTGAATGGTATATGAGCTTGGCTTGTAACCGGAGGGTCCTGAGTTCTAACTCCTTGTGGTGGGTGAATACTGCTGATTGTTCCCAAACTAGGATCAAACAGCTGTCCAGTACTTCTCGCTGGTTTTCAGTGGTTCTCTAACTGATATAAATCCCGGGTCAAACTCGTAGAAACAAGTCTAATCCTTACAAACCAACTTTTGAAAGATAACATTAATGTTTAAAAAAATTATATTGAATCATTAACATCAAAACTCCAAGAGACATATGTGAATAGATTGTTAACAAATTACAGGTCAAAGCATGTGTATGCAGTGTACCTTCGGTTGTTCTAAGTTTTCGTTTTAACGTGTACACATACACAATGGCTCCAACACCATTATGTGCTTTTCCACTTTGATGTCAACGCTTACATTCTTCGAGTTTGTAATTCAGCCATATTTGTTAGATGAGTTCTATGCGTTGGCGGAACAGAGGTAAGTACTCTCGCCGAGCATACTCATGATCCGAGGTTCGATCACCCGCCGACGCACACTTGATATCAATTGTTGGCCTGCTAAATTTAGGCTACCGATATTACATACTTGTATCAAAAATACATTACGGAATCAAACTGTTATAAAGCAAAATAAATAAATCAGCCTCCTTGAAGGATCTTCACTTTTTCTGTTTTACTCAGCTATACTACTCACCAGAACACATTTCCAATAAACTGCGTTTTTTTATTTGGGTTTTGTTGTCAGTATTCACAAGTTAGGTATAGTACTGATTTATTGGGTAATCAGGTGAACTACGTTTAATTAGGACTAGTACAGTGTAACTTACCAACATCATTACCAGTATCTGACACCTGGTGAGCCCGAATCTCATTATTTGCCACAACGTAAGCCTAATTCATCCTTAGTTGTTTTGCTTTTTTCAATGGTTGCATTTTCGGGCTAATTCACACTGCTGATATACTATTAATAATACTATTACATATAATATAACTTATCTAACCACGGGGCGTAAGAGGCACAGAAGTAGAATGCTTGCCAACAACGCAGATGGTCTGAGGTTTGATTCCTGACCACAGACGCAATTCTTTACCTCGCTAAGCCAGTAATTAGACAGGTAGAGAGAGAAGGTTGCGAGGGAGAGGCTGGTAATCCGATCCCGTATAAATAAACACCTTTGCTGCCGAAGCTTTTAAGCTGTAGGTTGAAGCCCCATGTTCTACTGGGAATGCAGAGGAATAATATATAATATCTAACCAGTGTGTAAATGATTTTCCTGCTCAGATAGGAGTTAATCAGCAACCCCCTGCCTTCTAGGAGAATCGATCCTCTTCTAGCTTCTCACATATTGAAACTCTGTTCACTTTGTGGCGTATTTATATGTATGTATGTGATAATGTGCATTATTGTGACGCTAGACTGAACACCAGTATTCTAAAGTGATTGATCACGAATAACAACGAATATGGTGTAATTAATGCCCATGAATAGTGTTCATACTGAATTCTGCTCATATTGATTATAGACTTCATGTGGATGCATTTTATTCTCATTCCTTTACGTTCCCAGTGGAACATGTAGCTTCGAGCTACAGATTTGAAGTTTCGGTAGCAGTGGTACTTATTTTTACGGATGGGTTTGGTAGCCTTATGCCTAGCCTTCCCTCTTTACCAGTCTAATTACTGGCTTAGTAAGGTAAAGGAGTGCGTTTGTTGTAGGGGATCAAACCCCGAACCACATGATGCGTTGTTGGCGAGTATTCTACCGCTGTGTCACCGATGCATGATAATATCAAAAATAGAGAGAGAAAAAATGGACTGTCAGATTATTATATATATATATATATATATATATATATATATATATTTAAGTGTGTGCCAGTGTGTATATGAGTGACTACGTCTAAATAAGAAAACTAAAGGGTTGCTTTCCTGAAGACGTTCGAACCAGGTCGCTGAATAAAACGTTGAAATTATTCATTTCAATTTCACTGACATTTATACAAGTCTACTTTTCACCTACGAAACAAAAGGTTTATTTATGCAAATGCAGTAATAAAGAGCAGAAGAATTGATAGGATGGAAGTTGACACTTAAAAGGGTGGTGTAATGCAGTATTTGTGAATTTACAGATTCCAGAGTAAGCCGGGGACATGAATATTTTCTTTGGGAAACTGCTTTCACTTTAGTTCCACATTTATGCGTATCTTCATATACACATGCTTTGAACTGTTTCGCCATAGACTGATGTCAGTTAGAAAACCAGTGAGAATCAGGGGCCACAGGACAGCTGTTTCGCCCCTAGTTTAGAGCACACCAGCAGTAGGTGCCCACCAAGGTTCGAACCCAGGGCCTTCCTTTCGCAAGGCGATTCTGTAGACCATTGACCATTGGGACCCGTGATCACTCGGTTGTACGTGAGGACAAGCGACACTGGTTAGTAGTCGTGCTTAAATCACGATTGAGTAGAAGTCAGAATTCATTGACCATTGG